GCATTTTGCAGGATAGATTCCGAGAGGTGGGATCACTTGGGCCAAAGGGGTGTGGCTTTTACATTAAGTACAAAGCATGTTGGCTCAAGCCTGTAGTCCTAGCTACTCAGGAGGCAGAGATCAGGAAGACAGCGGTTCGGAGTCAGCCCAGGCAAATAGTTTGTGAGACCCTATCTTGAAAAAACCCTTCACAAAAAAGGGTTGGTGGAGCGGCTCAAGGTGTAGGCTCTGAGTTCAAACCCAAGTATCACACACACACACACACACACACAAAAATCTTCCCTCATGGGCAGTGTGTAGGCAAAAATGAATATTCAAAAGTGCATACCTGGCTGGATTGCTGTCTAACATTGTAGTTTATTCTTCCCATTCTGTGAGTTCAGATAGTGACAGAGAGCTTAGCTCAGTGGGACAGGACAGAGAGAAAAGCCTGACGGGGTGGCAAAGGATCAAGTCACATGGGCCTCTCACTGCAGGTAAGCAGTGAGGCCTTGCTGAGGGCACTGGGGAGCCATAGATGGTTGGGGGCCAAGGAGGGATATGGTCTTGAAGGAGTATCACCGAATGGCTGCCTGGTCTCAGCCCTGACCAGGCCCTCACCTCTTTGCTCCCCTGTTACCCACAGGCACTGGCCTCTGAGTAAGGGGCCAGGGCAGATAAACCTGTCCTGCCAGTCAAAGCCTATCTTGGTCAAGCTGCACTGCTTCGTCCTGCTGACCCACACCGGCACGTATGAGGCCAGCTGAAGCCAGAGAGGGTGTGGCAGAACTGGGACAGAGGGAGGCCTGCCTACCTGAGCACGCAAGGCCTGGCTGGCCCCAGCTGCTTGGATAAAGGTTGAAAATGTTTAATAGACAGCTCTCCCTCCACATACTTCTCCCAGCCACCAGTGGGATTGTCATCAGCATTTAATTCTTGAGTTTTAGCCAGATGCCCGCCCAGGGAAGTAGTTCATGACACCTTGTCTCAAAAAACCCTTCACAAAAAAGGTGTAGGCCCTGAGGTGAAGCCCCAGTACTGAAAAAAAAAAAAAAAAATTCTTGGATTTCATTGGAGGACAAAAGACAAAAGCGATGATCATCATTTAAAAACCTGGAAAACACCAAATTTTACCCAAGGAATGCAATTTAAAAAAAAAAAACAACCTGTAAGTTTCTCCTGTTGCTTAATAACCAGTGCTAACCTTTGGGAGAACTTGGGGTTTTCTTGCTTTGTTTTCATTTTAATGCAGACACAAACACACACACACACACACACACACACACACACACACACAGGTACACACGTTTTTGGACACAGGGTCTCACTATTTGGCCCAGGCTGGCCTCCAACTTATAATTCTCCCGCCTCTGCATCCCGAGTGCTGGGATTACAGGCATGTCTCACCATGCTCACTCAGCTCACTCCTGTGTATTCTTACTGGGATTGAAGCCAGTGCCTTGTGCTTGCTAGGTAAGCATTTTACCACTTGAGCTGTGCCCCCAGCCCTATATTTATATTTTTATTGGAAAAAAAAGTCACCTGCCTTTTTCAAGCCACAATTTATCAAGTTCACAATTTTTCTGAGAAATTTTCCCACACCATTAAATATTTTGCAGTGTGGTTTCTTTTTCGGGGAAAATTGATTTTCTGCTTTTCAGTTTCTGACAACTCCATTAACTGTCACATGCTGACCCCAGGGACTGGACATCTCTCCATAAAAGCACGACGTATTTTCAAGCATGAGTGCCAGGAGGTACAGATGTGAACATGTGAGCCTTTGGAAAGCCACATGCTTACCTGTGCTAGCAGTGTGAACTAAGTAGGGGGCTGGAGCAGACTGTGGGGACGGGGTAACTGGGAGTGGAACACTCCCAGCAGTAAAACAAATTACATTTTTTATTCTTTTTTTTTTTTTTTTTTTACTGCTCTAGGAATTGAACCCAGGGCCTCACATGCTGGGCAAGTGCTTTACCACTGAGCTACATCCCCAGCCCTTTTGCTTTTATTTTGGTTTTTGAGACAAGGTCTTACCAGTACCTTTGCCCTGGCTGGCCTCAAACTTGAGATTCTCCTGCCTCCACTTCTGAGCAGCTGAGATTATAGGTGTATCTTACCATGCCCAGCCTAGATTTTTATAATCTTTTAAATAGGAAGTTTGCAAATGAATTTTGATTTTCTAAAATGCCCCCCTCATTCTCTTAAACATTATTTTACAAACATTACGCATTTCTTTACAAAGTTCGATGGGGACTAAGTTAGGAGCCAGAAGTTCTGGTTTGCCACTGGATAGTAGGGTGCCCACAGATAATAATGTGTTGTCTATTTCAAAAAGCCAGAAGAAAAGATTTTGAATGTTTTTACCAAAAAGAAAGGATGGCGAGGCTAAGGCAGTAAGATTGCAAGTTTGAGGCCAGCCTGAGCTACATCTCGAGACCCTGTCACAAAGAGAAAGGAGAGCTGGGTGCCAGTGGTTACATCTGTAATCCTAGCTACTCGGGGGGCAGAGATCAGTAGGATTGCAGTTCAAAGCCAGCCCGGGCAAATAGTTCATGAGACCCTATCTCAAAAAACCCTTCACAAAAAAGGGCTGGTGGAGTGGCTCAAGGTGTAGGCCCTGAGTTCAAACCCCAATATAGGGCAGGGAGCGGGGAGAAAGCAAAGATAAATGTTTTTGTAGATATGTTTATCCTGATTTCACATGTGTACATATATGAAAACATCACACGCTACCCCATCTATATGTACAATTTTATGTGTTAGTTAATCAGTTAATTTTGTGTGTGTGTGTGTGTGGCACTGGGGTTTGAACTCAGGGCCATGTGCTTGCTAGGCAGGCGCTCTACCATTTGAGCCACGCCCCCTTTTCCATGCTGAAACAGAGCTCTGTCATTGTTTTGTACTATGTGTGTTCTAAAGATGGACATACTATAGGTGATTCAACCAGTCCCCTACTGATGGCCGCCCCGGTTACTATAGTGATGATCTTTATATGCGCTTTTACTTTTTTTTGGGTTTTTTTTGTGGCACAACTGGGTTTGAACTCAGGGCCTCACGCTTGCTAGGCAGATGTTCTACCACTTGAGCCACTCCACCAGCCCTTTGTTGTGATGGGTTTTTTCGAGATAGGGTCTCGAAAACTATTTCCCTGGAGCTGGCTTCAAATCTTGATCCTCCCAATCTCTGCCTCCTAAGGAGCTGGGATTATAGGTGTGAGCTACTGGTGCCAGGCTGCTGTGTTGCTTCTATATTTTTTTAAAATGTGTACTGGGGATTGAAACCAGGACTTGGCACTTGCTAGACAAGTGCTTTACCACTTGACCCCACACCCCCAGCCCTGTTTCCTAAATAAACAGTGACTTTTTTGGCATTATAGTTTTTTTCAATGTCTACAATCAATTTTATTTTAATATAATCTAAACACATACCATTTATAAAATACCAGGGGCTGGTGAAGTAGCTTAGCAAGTGTGAGGCCCTGAGTTCAAACTCCAGTAACACTGAAAAAAAAAAAGTATAAAATACCAAGAAAAATTTATGTGTAAGAGTTGATACTTGGGCAGGGTGCCCGTGGCTCATGTCTGTAACCCTTGCTACTTGGGAGATTGAGATTGGGAGGTTTGAAGTTTGAGGCAAGACCAGGCAAACAGTTCACAAGACCCTATCTCCAAAATAACCAGAATGAAATGGACTGGAGGTGTGGTTCAAACAATAGAGCACCTGCTTTGCAAGCAAAGTCCTGAATTCAAGCCCTGGTCCCACCACAAAAAAAATAAAAAAAATAGTTGATGGTTTTGCGTTTGGCCAAGGCTGACAAGTTCTTGCTACTAGCATAGCCCAGAAACACCGCTGAGGAAACCAAACATATTGAACTAGATGCTTGGCCCACAGTTTGACAGCTGTCAAAGTGACAGCTGTTGGATTTTTTGGTGGGGAGAGGCAGTAGTAGGGATCAAACCTGGCCTCAAGTTTGCTAGGGAAGCCCTGTATCACTTGAGCCATGCTCCTAGCCCTTTTTCTATGACAGAATTTTTAGGTCAAGTTTTGAAAACTGAATTCCACATTTGCAGGACATCTGCAGACCAGTGAAGTAAATAGGGGCCCAGAGAAAACTCCACTGGTGGGAAAGGGAACCAGGCCCTCCTGGTTGATGCAACAATGGCCCCTGGATGGGACTGATCCAAACAGGACAAAAGAGTGATGCTGAGGTTTTTACACCATTTGCTGTCATGGACTGGCAGAGAACCTGCTGGAAGCTGAAGTCCCTGGAAGGAGGAGATGAATCACCTGCACCTTCTCATCAGCCCCTTCCATAAACAAGCTCCCTGCCCCCACCCACTGCTGGTTTCTCCTCAGCAGGCTTCCAGCTGTCGCTCCAAACCCAGACAGTGAGTGACCTTGGCTAAAGCTACTGGGAGACAGACCTCTTCTCAGTCTGGTGTAGTGGAAGAAAACCTATCAAGAATGAAGCAGGTTTCCTGGGAAATTGGATCTCCTAGATCCAGACATACCTGAAGCTGGCTCTTTTGACTAATGACATGAGCCAATCAATTCCATTTTATGCTTTATCAATGCCACTCCCATCGGAAGAGGTCTTGTTCATTCACCCTTGCCCCCAAAAGAAAACAAATTCACTCTCTCATCCAATCAGCCAGGATTTATTGAGTCCATGCTGGGTGACAATGGGGATGGCAAATGACCATACAGATGTGGAAATCCTCACTACCAAATTTAACCAGGCTGTCTGGAGGTATTCAGCAGCTCTGGGACACAGCCATGAGAAAGTTCAGGGAGCCAGGAAGGAGGGCTCTTTCGGGGAAGTGCCCTGGGGCAGGACCTTTCAGCTGTCACTCAAAAGATGGGCCAGAAATCAGCCAGGGAAATGAGGTCAAGGTTCAGGGTTCAGGGGTCACAAATCCAGGGGCTGGGTCCTCCCCCTATGGCCCAGGAGGACTCAGAAGCCTAAAGAGGGGTCTTGGGAGTGGAGGAGGGGAGGGGGACAGGGGAGAGGCGGCAGCTGAAGGAGGCGGCAGCAGAAGGCCAGGGTGCATCCACAGCCTCCCCTTCTTGTCGCTCAGAGCGTAGTGTAGAAATACATGGCTATCAGTATCACGGGGAGCTGGATGAGGAGGGAGTGAGAAGGGGGTGCTCCAGGCCACACCTCATCCCCCCCAGCCCCCAGCTCCCCGCTTCTCACCGTCCACATCAGGATGGCGAACCCAAACCACGAGACGCCCCACGTGTAGCTGTCAATGGCATGGCCGATGTGCTCAAAGCAGCCCTGCGGGAGGGAGGGTGGTAGGTGGGGCGCAAGGCTTGGGGAGAGGCCCTGGGAGGCTGGCAGCTGAAGGCCAGTCCCTGGACCCTGGAGAAGGAACCTGGCTTCCCCCACTGTGCGGTGCGGTGGGGATGGCAGCAGGTCTCCCAACCAGGGGGACTTTGGGGAGCCTGGGCACTGGCTAAGCAGGTGCTGCCCCAATGGCGGCTACCGCAGTCTGAGAGCGTCCATGGAAGGCCATTTTCCATGCTGCCCATGGGCCCCAAGGACTTGACCTGTGCTCACTTGGAGGAGGCTGAGTGGGGCGCCAAGGTGGCTTCATGTGGACCCTGCCCTGGAGAGTTCAGGACACATGCTCTGAGTCAGGCACAATCAAGTGGCCGGCCAGCTCTGTCATTTGTCAGGGTAGGAACCAGATATGGTTCTGGCCCTCTGCCCCTCAGTTTCCCCATCTGGGAAGTATGATCTTGAGAGCAGAAACAGGGATTCCGTGAGATGACACTTGTAAGACTGCACGGGACTCCCCCTGCATGACACCTTCTCTAAGACATGCTGCCTTAGGACCCGGGCAGCTGCAGGGACCCCTGGGGCCCGTTCTCTTCTTAGTCCACCCTCCTGGCTTCTCTGTCACAGAACTCAGTGAAGCCAGATGGCCTGAATTCAAGTCCAGGCTCCCTTCCTCACACCGAGTGACCACTCAGTTTTGCCATCTATAACATGGGTCGCTCTAGTCTGTCTCCTAAGGTTGTGCTGAAGATGAAAACTGAAAGCCCATGAGAACAGGCCTGGGAAAAATAAAGAGTCCATCAGCGTGGGTTATTGGCCGAGCGCCATGGTTACTACGGTGGGGCTGTTCTCCTTCCTGCACCCAGGTCTGGGTCAGACACACCCCACGTGCATCCTGCCCAGAGCTGGGAGATCCAGAGGGAGGGGAGGTAAAGGAAAGAGGAGAGGGAGAAGGACACCCAAGTGCAGCAGCAGAAGGGGACACACCTTGGTGAACAGGTAGTCCACGTGGCCCAGGCGGCAGCCCTCTTTGTTGAGGGGGATGAAGTTTCCTGTCCGGCGACAGCACACTGGGGGCCAGGGGAAAACCTCCTCCGGAGTGGCCCCACGAAAGGCTGAAGTGTAGTTTACCCAGTCCATGGGACCAGACGTGCCGCAGCATTCTTGCTGCAGGGAAAGCTGGGGGTGAGGCTGGATGGAGCTCAGAGAGGGGCCTCTGCTTGCCCGAGGCCACACAGCAAGCAGAGTCAAGGCTGGCTTCAACACAGTTGGACCCAGCTTGTGCTGGGCCTTAAAGTACGAGCTTCTTTGTGTGCGAGTGAACAAGAGTAAGGTGGTTCTTTGGTGTAGTACCAGGAGGCTGATGGGAGATTTGGCACAAATCCACACTAATGATTTATTTTAAAAATCTTTTGTTGACAATTATGCCAACAAAAGGCAGCCTTCTGGCTTTTGTTGGCCACATTTCTTTGTTGTTGCTGTTTGTTTGTTTTTTTGAGGTACTGCAACTTGAACTGAGGTCCTACACTTTGAGCCACTCCGCCATCCCTTTTTTGTGATGGGTTTTTTTTTTTTTTAAAGATATGGTGTCACAAACTATTTGGCTGGGCTGGCTTCAAACTGCGATCTTTTTGTTTTTTAAAAAACAGTGTCTCACTGTGTAGCACAACCTAGTTCTGAACTCACTGAAGATTCTCCTGCCTCCAAGTGCTGAGATTACAGGCATGATCCACCATGCTCAGCTCCAGTGGGTGTTTCATTTGTGGCCCCTGAATGATGAGAGGACAGGCCTGTGCATTCTTCAGACATGGTTCCACATCTGGCCAGTTGGTGTGACTTGGGTGGAGTTAACACCTCAGTTTCTTTCTTTGTCAGGCATTGGATTTAAATAAAAGCATGGCTTCTGGAACCCAGCAGTCTGGGTTCCAATCTTTCTAGTTCTATGAGTCACCAACTGAGGGATCTCACTGGAGCCATTCAACCTCCTGCTTCTGTTACCTCATCGCTAAAAAGCTGGTCTCCCTATGGGTCATTTGTGACAATTAAATAAGCCTTAAAATTGCTTTGAGGGAGCTGGCAGAGTGGCTCCAGCTTGAGCTACCATAACAGCGCCTGAACTGAGGTCAAACCCTGGTCCCACCAACAAAAAAAAAGTACTTTGAGGGCTGGGTGTAGTGTGACTCAGTGGTAGAACACCTGCAGGGCATATGTGAGGCCCTGGGTTCTAGCCTCCCCCCATCTACATGCTTTGAACCGTGCTGAAGAAAAGTTAGTGTTGGGGTGGGGACAGCAGAGGCTCAGCCTGTAATCCTAGTCACTCAGGAGCCAGCGATCAGGAGGGTGTCGTGGAAAGCCAGCCCGGCAAACAGTTCAGGAGACCCATCACAAAAAAGGGCTGGTGGAGTGGCTCAAGGCGTGGGCCCAGAGTCCAAACCCCAGTACTGCAAAATTAAAGAAAAAATTTAAAAAAGAAAGAAAAGTTAAGTGTCCTGGCTGGGGGTGCCAGGACCCTTGGCCCTGGGTTTGAGCAAAGAATGGCTCCTCTGACTGTTATTGTTACCATTCCTTACTACGCGGCCCTCTGGATCCCAGTTCTGCCATTCACCAGCCGTGCGACCCCAGGCACGTGCGACACTTGGACGTGACGATGCCCCCCCGCCCCGCCCCCTCCCGTCCACCCCCCCCCTCGGGATCCCAGCACAGGGGCAGGACGAGCCCTGGCCACCTCCGGGACACAGGCGCCCCGCCCGCACCCCACCTCTAGCATGATGCGGTCCCAGAGGCGGCTGAGCTCCTGCCCCTGGTCGGTGTCCGAGCCGTAGAAGGTCAGCATCTGCTTGGTGATCAGGGACGGGCTGGACACCATCTGTGGGTTGGGGGAGCCGAGTGGTCCCTGACCCGCCTACTGGACCCTTGCCCTACTCCACTCCTGCCCCTGCCCCCTCCCCCGGGGTCCCTGTCCCCTGCCCTGGGGACCCTGCACCCTAGGACCCTGCCCCTTCCCCCGGGCCCTGGCCTCCCCACCACGACCCTGCACCCTCTAGGGGACAATGCTGCTCCTCCAACCCTGCCCTGTCCCCCAGGCCCCTACCCCTCTCCCCCCTCCCCGCCCTTACTCCCCTCCCTCCGCCCTACCCCCCTACACCCCCCCAGAGGACCCTGCTCCCTCTCTCCAGGACCCCTGTCCCCCGCTCACATAGTCACGGTGGGTGTAGGACGTGATGCAGGACGCACACTCGAAGATGTAGACAACCAGCATGAGCACCAGGTACTGGGGACATTGGGGGAGGCATCAGCACGGAGCCTGACACCCCCCCACCCCCCCAACCCCCCCAGACAGGGATGGCTCTATGGGGGGAAATGGAATTTGTGGGTCTGGGGTGTGGCCCAGTGTGAGCACTTGCCTAGCATGGGTGAGCTTGGCCAGCACCCAAAAAAATAATAAGATAAAATAACAATTTTTAAAAAGTGGGCTGGAGTGTGAATGGTCACACCTATTGACAGGTGTTCATTGTACAAGCTTTCCTGCTTTTCTGTGTGGCTGAAATGTTTTGTAATAAAACGTGAAGGGAAAAGGAAATCAACCAAACCAACAGAATGTGTTCCTTCCCGAAGTTAACGAAGTGGCTTGGGGTCAATACAGTCAGTGTCCACTAGAAAGAAAAAAGTAGACATTGTCCAGACGGCCAGGACAGCTGAGTACAGACTGGGTGCTGGCAGATGTGAAGGAATTAGGGTGAATTCTGGGGGCTGTGCCCCTGGCACCCAGGGAAAAACAAAAGGCTCCATAGTTGGGGCTTTGGGAAGAGCCTTTCCCTGCCCTCAGCCTGTCCCAGCCCTCCCAGAACCAGGAGGACAGCAGGAGTCCCTCCACTGCCCAGAGGTGGGAGGACTCTGCTTTACACCTGACTACTCTCAAACAATGTCCTTAAGGCAGGGGAAGTGCGCACTGAGTATTTACAGGCAAGACATCCCGTCTAGAATCTGCTTCATGGAGACGGCAGGAAGAAAACCAGTGAGCTGGCGCTGGTGGCTCACGCCTGTAATCCTAGCTGCTCAGGAGGCAGAGATCAGGAAGATCTCAGTTTGAGACCAGCCAGGGTAAATAATTCATGAGACCCTATCTCAAAAATACCCATCACAAAAAAGGACAGGTGGAGTGGCTCAAGTGGTGGAGCCTGCCTAGCAAGCAGGAAGCCAGTCCCTCTGAGTTGAAACCAGGTGATGGGTACCAGGGTCTCTGGCAAGATCCCACACTGCTTAGAAGTTTTCCATAAAGAATTAAAAAAAGGACAAACTTCTGTCTTAGTTAATAACATGCTAACAAGGAGAGCCAGGCACAGACAGCTATGTTTGTTTTCTTACTAGTTAGGTGAATTTTGGTTATGCCAGAAAATTAAACATAGGTGAGAAAAAAAGGAGGAAGCAGAGAGGGAGGAAGGGAGAAAGGAGAGAGCAAGGAGGGAGAGAGGGGGAGGGAGGAGGGGAGGGGGGAGGAGGGAGGGGAGGGAGGGGGGGGGGAGGGAGGGAGGGAGGGGAGGGAGGAGGGGAGGGAGGGGGAGGGGGAGGGGAGGGGGGGGGGGAGGGAATCCTTCCACAAGGCCTTGTCCCTCCCTCCTTCCTCTCCATCCCCACCTCTGGCCCCAGAGCCCTTGCTGTTGCTGTCACCTGTGCCGGAACAGTCTTCCTTTACCTCCTCCAGGTCTTGGCTTTCTCTGGCTGTGGGATCTTTCCCTGCCCTTCCCCAGCTCCCAGCCACCCTTCCCCATCACTTCTCATGGTCACTGCTCTAGCCCTGATGCCCAGAACGGGGCTTGCTGTGTGCACCCTGACCTGTAAACATTTGTTGACTGAATAAGTGTCTGCTCCTGGAGGTCTAACAGGAACTGCAGAGGAAGCACTATGTTGTCTGCACTAGAATCCCTACCTCCCAATCTGCTGGGAAAGGCCTTCGGCCTCTTGGAACCTCAGTTTCCCCATCTGGCGAGTGATTGAAAAGCATCAACTCTAGAGGGTTTTTCCTTCAGGATCGAAAGAGCTTATTTTCCAAACTGCCTGCCCTGGTGTCAGGCAGAGGGAAGGTCCTCGGCAGGTGAGGTTGTTGGCAGAGATCAAGAGCTGAACTGCTCAGGTTTAAACTGGCTGTGCCATAGTGGGCTGTGTGACCCTGGGGAAGTGACTTCACCTCTCTGAGCCTCAATCTCTGTCAACTAGGGTCATGATAACAGCGATGACGATAACAGTATTTCATGAGGAGTGAATGCACTTTCGCCATCAGTGAGTGCTCATTAAATGGTAGACTGTTATCAGTATCTCTGTCACTTTCACCATGAGAGCACAGACCCTGGAGACCAACTAGCTGGGGTTCAAATCCAAGCTGTGCTACTCAGAATCTCCTGTCATACCAAGAGTGTCCCTCCCTGTGGCCCGGTTTCTCTTTGTACAACAGGAGCAGCAGTTGAGGTTAAGATCACAGGGTGAGTGATGACACAATGCCTGTGAGGTCCCCGTGGAATTCACACTATGGCCCTGGCGGTTGTCACTATGACTCTGTGATGATCATTTTCCTGTCTGCCCCCCTCACCGTGAGGATCATGGACCGGCGATGGCAGAGCGCTGCTCCCACACCGAAGCTGGCAACCACGAAGAAGGAGAAGCCGCAGAAGATGGCGATCCAGGCGCCAGCGAAGACGTCATCCTTGCCTGAGACGCCCAGCAGTGGGTAAACGCGGTACTGGTCAGCTGTCACCCACACCGTCTCAGCAAACAGGGCCAGGCCTGACAGCTAGATAGGGCAGCCGGTTACTCTCATTGACTGAGTTCCCTCCCTGTCCTCGGCCTCCTCTGCCCAGATAAAGTGAGCGCTTCACAAGAGTGGCACAGCCCTGGTCCCCCAAGAGCAGGGATGAGGCCAGGCAGAGGCCAAGATGGAAGGGAGGGCCCAGCCAGAGCCCTGGCCCCCACATCCCTGCTGCAAGTGACTTCAAGGATGAAAGGAGCTGGGTGCCAATGGCTCTCGCCTATAATCCTAGCTACTCAGGAGGCAGAGATCAGGAGGATCACGGTTCAAAGCCAACCCTGGCAAAGAGTTCATGAGACCCTATCTTGAAAAAAACCCATCACAAAAAAAGGACAGGCAGGCAGAGTGGCTCAAACAGTAAAAGCGCCTACCTAGCAAGTGTGAGGCTCCAAGTTCAAACCACAGTGCCACCAAAAAGAAAAAGAATAAAGGGTGAAAGGAAACACCACAGGCCAATCCTGCAGCACAGCAACAGCCCAGCACACACTCGGGCAACCTGCTGGCCACCAGTGGTGTGCGTGAGTCCCCAAGGACGGGACTTCATGGCCACAGACACAGAAGTGACAAGTGTATCACCTAGTAATTCCACCTCCACCTATAGACACATCGCCCAGCAGGAAAATCACAAACCCACAAGGCTGCACCGTGAGAAGGGGACCAGATGGTCACATGATGGGGGCTGTGTGAGCAGGAGAAAACTAGAGGCACAGGACAGGATGTACCATGGGTTACTTTTTTCTTTTTTCTGTACTGGGGCTTGAACTCAGAGCCTACACCTTGAGCCACACCACCAGCCCTTTTTTGTGATGGGTATTTTCGAGATAGGGTCTCGAAAACTATTTGCCTGGGCTGGCTTTGAATCATGATCCTCCTGCTCTCTGCCACCTGACTAGTTAGGATTACAGGCGTGAGCCACTGACACCCAGCTACTTTTGGGGCAAAAAAGGGAAGAAAATGGGTATATATGTTCCTATTTGCTTAAATAAATATTGGAGAAACAGAACCTGGTTACCTATAGGGTGGGCCCAGGGGAGCCATCTTCTTGGATGCCTTTGACAAGGTGTCAAAGCTGACACTTAGAGACCACTTCCTGCACACCAGGCACTGGTCAGAGTGGCCACTTTGGGTGACATTGTTTTTGTTACCAGTTGTAGCATCCTATTGCTCTGGCCAATACGAACAGTAACCTCGTGCCAAACTCTATTCTAAACACATTCATCCAGGAACTCATTGTCTCTTCACAGTACCCCTTTAATCTCTGCCTTACAGATGAGAAAACTGAGGCCAGAGAGGCTGTATGACTGGCCCCAGGTCCCACAACTAGAATGTGACAGAGCAGAATTTGAATCCAGCTTTGCCTGGCTCCAGAGCCACATGTAAACTTCACTTTTTTTTTTAAAGCCAACATTAATTAAGCTGGGACTGGTGGTACACAGCTATAATCCCAGCACTCAGGCGTGTCTACACAACAACCCACTTAAGGATACAACCGATGGCAGGGGAGGAAGAGGAGGCCCAAAGAAGTCAGGTTTCTCCCTTAAGGTCACCTTGCTGGGGACAGGTAGAGCTGGGGTTTGAACCAGGCTGCTCTGACTTGAAGGGCCCGGACTTCACCCCCACTCCGGGCTCAGGGCAGCCACCTCCCACCACACACGTCAGCCCCCAACACTGGGGGTCGCTCACCAGGATGGCGACGTTGCCCGCAACCAGCAGGCCCACCACAACTGGAGGCCCCTTCTTGGCCTCTGCTGCTGCCAATGCCATAGTCGCGCCTGGGATGCAGGACAGGGATGAGGTTAGGAGGGGAGAGACCCTTCTTCCCCACTCCACGCCCCGGCTACCCTGGGACCCCTCTGCTTCCTGTACGACCAGGCTGCTTGCGCTCAGCCATGCCCAGCCCTGGCTGAGAGTCCTCTGCACGATAGGAATCCTGTGCTCAGATGGGGCTGTCACTGGCAGAGCTCAGCGCTGCCTCCCCTGAGCTTCTGTCCTCCCAGGTGCCCTGCCTGTCCCCACTCCCAGAGCCCCCTCCTCATCTGCCCTGCCCACCTGGCTCTCTGGCCAGCCCCACCCACAGCTGCTCCCTATATATGCGCCTCCCTCACCCCCGGCCAGTATCCAAGAAGGGAGGGGGTGTTCAGAGGAGGGACAAGAGGCCAAGTAGGCAGACCAGAAGGGAGGGCAGATTTCATGGTCACGCAAGTGATTTATAGACCTGAAATTCCACATTGTGTGAATGTCTGGCCACCTGGGCAGGGCAATGTACCATGGCCTCTGGTTCCCAGGCTGCAGTGCTGCAGGAGCGGGGTGGGCCCCGGGGTGTACACCACCTGATGTCCCTCTCCCTAGGACAAGGGACCCATGTGTGGATCCTGGACCTCAGCACTGCCTCCTCCACTCTGTGTGCCCTTAGGCAGGTGGCTCCATCTCTCGGAGGCCAGAGCCCTGGGGAGGCCCAGGTGGGGTCCCTCACAGCAGGGGAGGACAGGGCTGGACAAGGCGGGGGGGGGGAAGGGGTGCTGGTTATAGGGCCATTGGTGGGGGAGAGAATGGCTGTGAGATGATGTGTGAAGGCAAGAGGAGTGTCAAGTAAGGGGAAGGAATGTGCTAGAAAAAGAAGGGATACACTGAACAAACGGGCTTGGAGAGAAGCAGCCCCTCTCCCTAACACACACATGTACAGGCACAACACACAACACACATGCTCACATGCACACAGGCAATGCACACTACACTGTATACACAACACACACCCCACACACGCATACACACAAAACACAACACACAAAACAGATACACAACACGCACATCACACATGTAACACAACTCATCCACAACACACACACATACACACACACACACACACACACACACACACACACACACACTTCCCGACAAGGCCACAGTGTGTCTTCAGACTACAGAATGAGAGAGATCTAAGTTCAAGTCCCAGTGCTGCCTTCTGGGTGTGGCTTGTCCAGCTGCAGCATGGTGGCAGGAACTCAGAGTGGGGACTCTGCAAGGCATGCTTCACTCCCCTCTGATGGCACCCCTAGTGGTGCAGGCTGATCCCGCAAGTGAAATGGTGGCTTGGGACCCCAGAATTTCTTTTTTTTTTTTTTTGGCAGTGCTGCGGTTTGAACTCATGGCCTCACACTTGCTAGACAGGCACTCTTACCACTTGAGCCACTCCACCAGCAGGACCCCAGAATTTCTGAAACCTGAAATTGGGGCATTTATTGTGAATTCTTTCCCACAGGTCGGTCTCCCACATGGTATGCAAAATGAGGAAGCATGGCACTTAAAAAGCCATTGACGAGGCTGGCGTGGTCATAAGACACAAGAGATGTTTTCCAATCAAAATGGTTCATTTGGTTTTCTGAACCTCACTTTAGACATAAAATTGTACTCTTTGGGGCTGGGGGTGTGGCTCAGTGGTAGAGTGCTTGACTAGCAAGTCTGAGGCCCTGAGTTCAAACCCCAGGACTACAAAAAAGAGGATTTTTTTTTTTTTTACCTTTCCATTAAGGGTTCACAAGAAAATTTAAATAAAGTCAAGGTCACTTGAAACTTTGGCTTAATAATTTGTCAATTTCAATTCATTTGAAATCTTTTTATTTTCAAATAGTTGGCAACTGTTAACATATAAGTTTTATAAAATGTCCATCTACGCCTGTAATCCTAGCTACTTGGGAGACTGAAATCAGGAGGATGGAGATTCGAGGCCAGCCTGGGCAAATAGTTCTTGAGACCCCCATCTCCAAAATAACCAGAGTAAAATGGACTGGAGAGCAGAGCACCTGCTTTGTAAATGTGAACTCCTGAATTCAAATCCCAGACCTGCCAAAAAAAAAATGCCCAATAAAAGCAAAAGGTGTCATCAGTGGGATAGTAACATGCCACCAGTCACAAAAGGGAGCCTTTTTCCCCCCTGTAATATGAGGCATGTGTACTTTGATGTCAAGCTTGAATTTTCACTACTGTTGCTTACTACTGCATGTTAGGGTGAACAAAAGGAAGCCATGTTAGAACTAGCCCCTCCCCCTTGAAGGTGACTTACTGAAAACTCTCCATCCAGCCCTAAAGAAAAATAAACATCCACCTTTAACCATTTACTAGAAACTCCTCACCGGTCCTAGAAGAAATGACCTGCCCTTAAACCATCTGGGAGGGACACTGAGGATTATCCAGCCCAGGGACCTTCCTGGGACTTCTCAGCTCACCTAATGTATCTACCCCTGTGATCAGAAGACTTCCAAATTCTTTGAATCCCACCAGAAAGAATCCATGGCAGGACATATGGGTGTAAATGGAGTTTTTTTAAAAGTTAGGGAAGGAAATACAAAGGGGAACACGATGGGGCCCTGGTAGAAGCTGGAAACCTGCTTTTAAAACCTATGATGACCACTGGGAAGGGGAAGACCAGGTGACTCCCATCGATAATCACTGAGTGGAGGGGGACATGGGCGGTTCCCAGCCAGGTGAGGGCAGTCCCTGATGGCTAATCTAAGGTGTAATATGTTTTTCTGAGTCCCTAATTTAGGCTGCCTCACCCCCAGTCTGTCAGTGGCTGTGTGCTCCAGCTGTCTTGCTGGGGTCCCCCTCCTCAGGACCACTTCTCCACAGTAAACCCTGTGGTGGCGTTTGGGCGTCTCCCCGCCTAGCCATCCTGCGCCTCTTTCAGTCTAACATTGTTAATGCAAACGGTGCTTCCAGAAGACCTTGGTGCTTGCGTTTTGACAAGCAGACCTCGTGGGTATAAATGGGATTTATCGATAGTTAGGGAAGGGAAATACAAAGGGGAGCATGGTGAGGCGCAGGTGGAGAGAGCCTGCTGTTCTTTTTCAGGTGCTTTTAAAACCTGCACTAACCCATGGGGAGGGCAGGCCCAGGAGGTTCCCACCGGATAATGAAGGAGTGCAGAGAGGTGTGGGCGGTTCCCAGCCAGGTGAGGGTGGTCTGGGCTATCCCTGGGCAACCTACACGAACCCCAAACTTTTCCTTCTTTTTTTTGTTTTTCAGTACTGGGGTTTGAACTCCACTAGTGGCTGAATCCTTCCTTTTTTGTGAAGGATTTTTTTGAGATAGGGTCTTGCAAACTATATGCCTGGGCTGACTTCCAACTGCAATCCTCCTGACCTCTGCCTCCCGAATAGCTAGGATTACAGGTGTGAGCCACCAGTGCTGGGCTAACTTTTCCTACTTCTAGCCTGCCTCAACATTACATAAATCAACCTATGAAACAATAAATATTGAAGTGCTGATTACTTGCTTACAAAATTTCAGTGCCATGCTGGCTGGTGGTTCACACTTGTAATCCCAGCTACCAAGGAAGCAGAGATCAGGAGGACCGCAGTTTGAAGCCAGCCCAGGCAAATAGTGCTCAAGACTCTATCTCGAAAAAACCCATTAAAAAAAAAAGGACTGGTGGAGTGAATCAAGGTGTAGACCCTGAGTTCAAATCCCGGTACCACAAAAAGAAAAAAAATGCAATGCCACAGTGGGGAGTGGTGTCCCACGCCTGTAATGCAAGAACTCAGGAGGCTGAGGCAGGAAGGTCCTGAGCTCCAGGCCAGCCTGGGTACATACGAGACCCTGTCTCAAATATCAACAAAAACATTACAATGTCAGTGTCTCCTAAGACTGAACATGTGCCTTCCCTAGGGCCCAGCCATGTGTCCCAGGGAATCCCCCCACTTCTGTCTGCCAACTGGTGAATGTAATTCATAACAGCCCCAAACTGGAAACCACCCAAATGCCCCTCAACAGAAGAATGCATAAGTATATTATGGTGCCAGGTGAGGTGGTACACGCCTGTAATCCCAGCTACTCAGGAGGATCTTGGTCTGAGGCCAGCTCCAGGCAAAAATATGAGACTCCCTGAAAAACAACTGAAGTAAAACAGGGCTGGGGGCACCACTTAAGTTGTAGATCACCTCCCTAGCAAGCATAAGGCCCTGAGTTCAAACCTCAGTACTTCCAAAAACAACAAAAAAAAGGTATGCTATGGTTCCTGCACACAATGGGTAATATTTTGCAGTGTAGGGGAGTGAAGTATTGACGCACACAACTTCAGGGACACTCTCACAGCTAAAGAGGGAAAAACCAGTTCTCAAAAGAGTACAGTCGTGTGAGTCTAGATATGAAGTTCCAGAACAGGCTGTGCAGGGTGACAAAACTCAGGCAGCGGTTAGCTCGAGGCAGTGGAGGGGACACTGTGACTGGAAGAGACATCGGGGGCCTCCTTTCCCTTGGTTGTAGCAACTGTACCCATGAACCAAACTTTTTTTTTTTTTAGCGGTACTGGGGTTCGAACTCAGTGCCTCACACTTGCTAGGCAGGTGCTCTACCCCTTGAGCCACTCCACCAGGCTTTTCTGCATTGGTTAGTTTTGAGATAGGGTCTTGCTTTATTCCCAGGCTGTCCTGAAGCCCAGACATGTCCCACTGGGCCCAGCCATTGATTGAGATGATGTCTCAGAATCGGCCTTTCTTTTTTTTTTTTTGGCTGGGGTTGGCCTCAAACCTCGATCTTCTCTATCAATCTCAGTCCCCCAAGTAACTAGGATTATAGGCGTGAGCCACCAGCGCCCGGCTTGGCTCAGGTTTTAATGATTGAGTCTCTCTCTTTGGTGAGACTGGGGTTTGAACACAAGTCTTCACACTTGCAAAGCAGGCGCTCTACACTTGAGCCACACTTCCCGTCCGAGAGTCTCTTTTTTTCTTTTGAGGTGGCATCTCCCTATGCACCTGCACCCGTGAGCC